TAGGGAAATAAATTATTGCACGAATATCTACTTTCACACACGTTAATATTTTGTTTAGAAAACGTAAGACGTAAATAACTATAATGATAATTATTTTTCATTAAAATTCGTTGATATGGTAAATACTATATAATATTATATAATATTATCAAAATAACAACTATTATAGTGATTAGTACCTTCAACCTTGGTGGTAACAGGATGAGGTCGAAAGTAGAAAATTACTAGTACTCTCTCGAATAATTGAGAAAAACTTTATAATCAAAATATTACAGAAAACGGTATTATTTATTCATTGTTTATATTCTTCCGTAAGGATATTTTATATTTTATAATTGCAACCACTTGTAGTTAAAATCCTATGCTTTTAAAATGTAACTATCGTTAATTATATTATCTTCTATTTTTAGTAGATATTGGTAACCATTGATTAAAAATATTCTAGTATTTATAACCGATATCCAATGGTGTAACTAGATCACTAAATCAATTTTGTAACATGGCCATTGTAATGTACGTACTGTTTAATACTCCTTATTTGAGAAAAGAACCAATTATTTATTATATGATTGTCATGCGGATAACTAGCCGATAACATTTACGAACATGGAGTTTTAACAACACTATAGTTTATGTTATTATTTATTTTTATTTTAATTAAAATACTATGATGTATATCTATACCGTACTTCTAACACATAGGTACTTGCTTATAAAAGTCATAAAATGAAAATAATACTGAATAAAAATAAACAATTTACATCCAATGTTTATTTATCTTCTTACTCTACGTTTGAGACTCTAAAAGCATAAAGTTGGTAAATTGTGACGATTCTCTCTTCACGCGACAATAAACAGACGACAATTTTTTTCAAAGGAAATCCTATCTAATAAGAACTAGGATAAATATTTATTTTATGTATAAATCTACTCAATAATGATCTTATAATATTACCCGGGTACGCCGCCCGACTCCATGTGGTTGGCTAATGTCACATCATCACTCCACACATCGAATTGCCATTTCCTCAAACCCAGYACGCCACACAACACATTTCCGGTGTGAATACCGATCCGCATGTCTACGTTGAATCCAGCAGCTTCTCTGACAAATCTTTAGGAAAATAAACAATTATCGAATCAAGAATATCAAAATTAAATTTAAAAACTCTAWACATAATAATTATACAAACTATGTATGGGTATATAGATATATATTTAAAAAAATATGATATACCTATGATATACACTTGAGAATAATATGCATTCTATAAGATATACCTATAAATGAAATTTAATCTAAATTTAAATTCAAAGATTCTGTATCAGGTACCTATTGATATACTTTTCATAATCACTGCAGATACTATAAAATATATGTTGTTCAGTAATTTCATCWAACATAATATTTAATTAGAAGTTCAATCAATTTCAGTTTATTTGTTTCATTAGAAAAAAAAAAATGTTATTCAGAAATTAAAAGTAAATTTATTTACGAACAATAAGAATGTCTGTGATTAATTAGATTGCATGGATGAATGGCTATTTGTTTATTATTTAAAAATTTAAAACAAATTAATTTAACTAAAGATTAAAATAAAATCAGGATGTTATTTTTCTTTGTAGGTATTTAATTCCGTGACATCGTGACATAATCAACTGGATAATAATATATCCACAAATTCAATTTTTATTCAGAATTATTTAGTTCAAYGTATGTCTTAACTTAAAATTATTAATTAAATTAATTTATCAGAAAGAGATAACGTTTATCAGTAAACGGCAGTGTTTTGATTTCATACCTAACATATTTTATATTTAACGATTTTGAACAGATTTTGTGATAATATTAAGTTGTTTGACTATCTGATTCAATATAATAACTTTGAGTTATGTACATTAATGTATCTGTAGTACTTTGTAGTATATCTATACTATGTATAATATATGTCACTTATGTATCCCTCCATCTATTGTGCTTWTTGACTTATTGTAAATATATTTTATACAGATTGTACAAATTAAAATAAATATGACAACAAATAAAGGGTTATAAATAAATAAGTCACTCAATCTATTTTTCTCACCTTATCGCTTCTATCATCTGCAATCCCATTTTGACACAGTTGTAGGCATGATTTGGTCTAGATACGGGAAGTCCAGAAACACAGTAGTAACAGTCACCTAAGATTTTTATCCGCATGCACTGGTTATCCTGGTAACATAATGCCGGTAGATAATATTTTAGTGCACAGTGTGTCGTAAAACATTAAACACATTAAACATTGAACGTAAACATTGAACAAACAAATAGATTTAAAATATTCCGTTTATCATGTTCATTGGTGTACTTGAGTCAGGAAAATGAATTTAGTAAATTTAAAATGTTTTTAAATTTAAGTTTAATTATTTTAACTTATAAGTACTAAGCAGAGTCGTGTGAGAAACCTTGTGTATGTTCAATCGAGTAATTTTTCTTAATTTTTCATATGGATAATATGTAATATTGATTGTGTTCTGATACAGACGACGAGCAACAGCTTTATTTAGATTATAATATTTCGTAATTCCATATTTCCATGCTTTAGAGATTAAAATGTAAAAAGTCTACAGACAATGAATAAGTTTATGGTACGTATAATTGATCAATAATCAAATTTGAATTTTCAATGAAATCTACATTATGTAATATTAACCTCTAATAATATTCCAACTTTCAAGTATATTACAACAAAATTAATTAAAACATAAATTATTTTGACTTTATAATAGATTCTGCGATATAAATCAATAATGTTAACATAATTTATATCATATTGGCTGTATATGAAATAATGAGAATAATGAGATTACTGTATGATTTAAATTTATGGTAAGAAATTAAAACTTACAAAAAACAAACAATGTGACCTGAATTATAAATTTTTAATTATGAACTATTTTATTTTGTTTTCRTGCAATTAACGCTTACTAATTAATGCATTTTCTTAAGTTAAACGTTTTATAACTTAATTATGTTAATTACGTGATAGTACAACTGTACAACAATTAGGTAATAAATATTTATAATTCGTGAAATATATTTAAATTTTAAAAATAAGAATAACATAACTCAATTTCACAATTCGATTATTATTTTACTTCATTTTAAAAATATTTGTTTGTATCAAATATAAAGTTTTTATAGTGGTATTTTATTTTRTTTTATTGTTATCGATTTTATGATCATTAGCATGATAGGTAATTTAAAAATGATAAATACAAGATCCTWAATAAAAATTCTTACTCATTTAAAATAATATGAGTATCTATTGAGTATATTAGGCATTGGTGAATGGACTGGCTATTTCGGGTCCAGAATGCAAAATTAATTAGGTGCCAGTTAAATATTTTTTAACTTATTAAATTTATGAAAAATKTCTACATAAAAATGAGACTTAAGTTAAAGAAAGGGCCCTGATCATAAATACGAATGGGCYGAGTCCGGGGTACCTACTACTTGGTTATATTATATAACTTATATAATACCCTGAGCGAATTCACCCTTGATATTAGGTAATAGCTATTCTAAATCAATTGGTCGTTGGTCGTGTAAAAATCTTATTGCTAGACAAATAAATGAACATCTATTTGAGAAATGATGATGACGGTCAGTCTTTTCTACTCATGCGCATATCTTATTGTTTCTATATAAATTAACAATTACCTACCTAGTATTATACAAAACGTGAAACAGAAAGAAATGATAGAATATCATGTGCAGTGCATTAAACGCAGTAAACCTGAAATGGCGTATTATTGAGTATAGGTAACTTTAAAAATAATATCACATTATTTTACCTCTGGTGTGTGAGCCTGTAATGTTGTCTCCATATAGTGGATTGCGTGTGTACATAATAATATGTATTTTGATAACGATAATTAAGCAATCCACATAGAATATTGCTCGTGGAACCACCCGTGAAAGTTAATATGATATACTTCTGAGGCAAGGGAAACTCATTTGGGGGTCCTCGGGGCACAGATTAATGATGCGAGGCTGTACTATTCCGACTCAGTACAGTACATAGTTTACAGATGTTATAACATACATATTCCGCGATGTACCTCATCACGATTTCCATCGTCGATAACTTTTTTTTATAATTAAATTTTTTTTTTTTTATCATMATTWTATTCGTAAATAACAACGCGTATAATATTGGACCATACATAATTCATAACGCATTTTTGATTTACTGAGATGGATGATTTTTGTACAGCTCTAATTTAGGTATGTAAATATTTTAAAATTTGAATTAACCAAGTAATTGTTTCCATTGAACATATAAAAATTTGAATAAATAGTTATTAGTAATTTGAATATGGTCTTCAAGCTGTGCAAACATTTGCAGGTTAATATAATATACGAAATTGAGGTACCTACGTATAATATATGAATTATTCACCATATTATTATACATATATTAGTTATGTATATTGTATTTACATTGTATTTATGTATAGTCACACGGAGGTTAGGTATATGTTCGAAGAAAAATATGGTACACAGCACACAGAATTGACCAATTTTCAGTTAGGATTKGAGCCATAAACGTACTACCTAATACCAGTAATACCTATATTGGCTATATTATTAAATAATTGGCAGTTACGACAATTTTATTCGGCTATTTGTTTCGTATTGTAGCAACTGTATATAGCTTATGAATAAGCATTATAATAATTAAAAAATTTTAAGCACGGTACAGTTAACGAAAAATTGTTATTTTTCTCATTCCATTTATCTACCATTATACACATGTGATATATAGTAAAATAATATTATATTTTACTCAAAATTTCAGATGGCACTTACAAACGACGTTTTCAATCGATTTTTCGTTGATATTGTAGATAAAACAATACTACATAATATAATGTAATATAATATAATATTAAAAGCGATTTGACAAAGTATTTATTGGTTTAAAAAAAAATCGTGTATTTTAAATAAATCTGAAACGTCGAGTTATGTAYACTGCCAGTCMTGTGTGATTAATAGACAAAACATTACTTGAATCATTGTGTTATTGTGGTCATTTACTCATCGCTGGTTGTCAATCACCCATATAATGTGATTTAAATTTTTCATAATCATAATGATTGCGTTGCTTCCCTTGCGCATAACCACTAAAAACCTCAACCCTAACGTGACCAGCTAATTATTATTATTTGACCAAGTCAATAGTACAATATTAACGCAATATAATATTGTCATAGTGTATAGTTAATAAAAGTAATAATAAAAAATGTTAGGCATCCATAGTTTTTATACATATAAACATCTCCAGCGATAGTCACGAATTCACGATACATTGTATGATATAATATAATATACAAGTTGATCCAACGCTTTTCGTTATCTGTGAACAATGTTTGGTGATCTGTTTGAAACCAAACCGTYAATACCCATGAAATGCATAAAAATAAGTTAGATGAATTAATTTTAAATCATGAGTTTAGAATTCAATTATTTTTAAAAGTATGAATTGCATCTCGGTAGATAAATTATACCTTGAAGACTTAAATGGAAAATAAACAAATTCATGAATACGCAATCATTATTATGTATGTAGCAGACTGTCAGTGAACTATAAAGAAGATATTATCGTCAATCTATTACTTAATACTTAGAGAAATTTGTTTACCGACATTTAATAACTTATTCCTAAATTATTTAATACACCATCGGTATATCGTGTAATTTAAATTCTTATTAATATATACAATGCATAATGTGTTTAATAATCAAAACTACTATGCATAAGATAAATTTACTTGTATATTCAAAAATAAAATGTATWATGTATCTATTKCATAGAACATTTTAAAGCAAATTAAACAATAAGAAATAAAAAGTAAATCATTCACTTTTTCRTTTTTAGTCTATAATTTCAACAGCAAACAGAAAAARTAATATTAATTATGCAAGAAAAGTTTTCAGAAAATTTTACTTACTTGAGCTATTTGATCAAAGCGTCCAAATAGTTCATTTAAAGTTTTCACAAGATCAGACGCTGATAGTTGTTCAGATAATGGAGTGAAATTTACTATATCAGCATACAAAATGCTTTAAACATAAAAATAATTAAATTAATTT